CCTTCATCGGAGCTGCTGCTGCTGTCGCTGTCGCTTCCTTTTTTACCCTTATCTTTGTCTTTCTTCTTCTTCTCCTCCTCCTCCTTCTCCCTCTCACGTAGCCGCCGGAGCTCCTCGGCCTCCTCCTTTTTCCGGCGCTCCTCCAGCTCTCGCCTGCGTTCCTCATCTCGCTTCTTCCATTCGCTGATGCGGTCGGGTTCACTGTCGCTGGAAACAAAACAACTTTCAGCAACACGTACTTTAAAGTTTGCGTGAACCTGCGGTGCACGAAGCGGTGGAAGCAGGCGCCTGACCTGTCGCTGTCGGAGGAGGATGAAGGTGCTCGCTTAGCCGGGGCAGGTTTGGGTTTCCGTGCACGAGGCTTCGGGGCAGGCTTCTCTGTGAATCAGAAAACACCAACACTGAGAGTTAATAAGTTAGCAGCAAAGCAGGGCCTCACACATTTAATTTAACCTCCATCTAACTGCATCTCTAGGATTTCGTAAAAAAGAACCTGTTCTCAATTAACCTACCTGGTTAAATAAAGGAAAAATAAATAAATACAATTTTGGAAGAAGCGATAATTAATACAGAAAAAGACTAAACCTGCACCTTTCTTGCGAGCCTGCGGGCCTTTCCGAGGAGGTGGATCTGAATCCGACTCAGACTTGGAGCCGGATCGGGATTCGGAGCCGGACAGAGCCGGTCGAGGCTTCTCGTCCTCGGAGTCGCTGTCCACCACTTTCTTCTCTGACCCTGAAGCCGAGTCTGAGTCCGAGGCAGACGAGGCCTTCTGCAGCGTCACAGAAAACAGGACAAAGTTGAAAACACGGAGGAGAGACGTCAAGTTTCTGTCTCAATAAAACACCCAAACAGGATCTGTGTGAGGAGTCTAATGCTTCACCTTCTTCTTCCCTCTGCCTCCTGCTTTCTTCCCGCCTCGGCCGCCAGCTTTCTTCTCCGGAGTAAAATCCTGTCGAAGGAAAAACAAACACACGATTCACAGGCTGTTTGGTTTCCCCTCATAGATCCCACCCTGATACCTACACAGGTGTTATTACCTGGTCACTGTTCTTGCCGGAGTCGGATTCTGAGGGCGTGGGCTCCGACTCAGAAGGAGATCCGCTCTCCTCCTCGTCTCGGTCGCTGGAGGAGCCGCGAGCCTTTTTAGGAGGAGGAGGCCGCTGAAGCAGAAGAATGGAAGCATGAAAACAGTAGAAATGGTGATTTTTCATCAGAAAGAAACCATCTGACCTGTCAAACGTGCACTAAAGCCACACAGACGAGCTCTGCTAATCACGGCTCGTTAGGCCTTTGTCGTTGCTATGACGACTCTTGATGTAAAAAAAGAAGCTACTGGGAATTACTGGATGTTTTTGTTACCTTTTGTTGTCATACAAGCAGGAGAATTCTCACTAAGCATTCATGCGCGACAGATCTTTCTGCTAACTCTGCTGTGTTCTGTGTCTACAGCTTCTTATGAAGCTCCAGTAACACGACAACAGAAGTTAAACCTCTGAGCAGACTCTCCAATGAACTTCTCCACATTCACCTTTGGACCTTGCGGCTTTCGCTTCACTGCTCCTCCACCACCTCCACCTCCTCCTCCTCCTCCACCTCCTCCTCCTCCTCCCCTTCCTCGGTCTTCGCTGCCCGAATCGGAGTCGACCTCACTTCCGGACTCGGCTTTGCGGGGAACCGTGGCTTCTTCGTCGTCGTCTTCCTCGTCGCTTCCTCCTCCGGCGTTGTTGCCCTCGCTGTCAGACGAGCTCGCCGGCTGCAGACAAAACGAAAGGACGTGAGAGAGGTGCAGCAAAGTGTCCTGCTCAGGAGATGCTGCAGCTCGAAGGAGTCACAGCACCTGGATGCCACAGTCTGGCAGTCAAACAGTTATTGTTGTGACAAAAGAAACATAAAATGCATCGAAATGAGGATTATGAACAACATAAGAGTAAAAAACGACAAGAAATAATAGAGTTTGACACCAGGTTGAGCTAAGCTGTCAGAGTTCAGATGCTTCAGGGTTTTTGATATCAGGGTGACTTACTACAGGCGGGGCACTGTAGGAGGCGTGTGGGTTGTTCTGGATCTCCCATAAACCTTCGTTGAATCCCTTCCTTTTGTTGGGCTTCCCGTAGCGTTCTCTGTACTTTTCATACGCAAAAAGGTCCTTTGCTGCAAGGAATGCTCTGACAAACGAGAAAACACAGAAAACATCAGCTCACTGTGATAAAAAAAACAAACTTCAACGGTTGAGTTTCTATGAACTAACAGGATGTTTACTCTGGTGTTCAGGAGGGTTTACAGCCACTGGAGGCTGTGCAGCAGCAGCACACTGCTCCACCTAGTGATGGATTAACACACTGCAGGTGCCATCTTGTCAAACAGATGGTGTCTGATGCCGGATCAAACATGTCAACACATCCCTCAGAAACATACTGCACATTCAGACTGACACCAGTTAGCGGTGAGCCTCCAGAAACTAAACCAGCAAGCAAAGGTGTCCCACAAAAGCAGTGATCTGTGTTTCCGTCTCACACCACTGCTCTGGCAAAGAGGAAACCAGGTTAAAAACAAACAAACACAAAAACAGAAGAGCCAGGGTTTTTAAAATCGCCACATTCGATTCAACCACGCGTGTCGGAAAAGGAAACGCACCAAAGCTGAAGGATACGAACCAGTCTGGTAATGTGATTTCCAGCTGCAGCTGTCTGAGCTTAAACACAAACATAATTAAATGTAATCTCTGATGTACTCACGTTTCATGTGTCCCGAAGAAGAATATTGGGATTTTGTTGGGAGGTGGTTTCACCGCTCCATCAGCCACGTCTTCAATCTGCAAACAGGCAGGATTTTAAGAAACAGAGGCAAACAGAAAACATCTCACACGTTCTCTGCAGACTCAAATGATGAATCCCTCATCCTGAACCACTGCACATCTCATGTCTGGTAATAAATCATTTTAGCAAGGATGTCTTCTGCTCAACTGCATCCACCCACCTGATGTATTTATATTGTCAATAACCCAATATGTATTATTGATAACTACATTTATTCCCATCATAACAATCTGCACAACACTTTGCTTCACTTACAACATGCATCTTTACACATATTTACAGCTGCACATGGTAAAAACTACTTTTCTTCCTTTAACCTGCTGCTCTTATTAAATGCATGTTTTTCCTGCAAGAGGAAAGAAAAAAAACATAATATTCCTCATAAATGTGTTCACATTTGGCCAATAAAGCTGATTCTCATCCTGATCGATGCCTGGAAAACAAAAACAGTGTTTTAACTGATTTTGAATTTATAGCTGTGTGGTGCAAACTGGACTAGTTTTCAGAGGAGATCAGGGAGAAATTGTCAACCGTCGTTTCCAGAATAACATCGTTAGCTCCGCAGCTGCTGGGCTCCATGTAGATCAGGCCAACAGCATCTCATGCAAATCCCGCCGCACCTACACCCGCTGTGGGCCCGTGTGACAGCCGGCCAGCCCGGAGGACATTCAGCTACGCGTGTGTTTGTTGGTAACCGTTAGACGGAGCCGAAGACAGCCGGAGAACCTTCTCCAGAGTCCCATGCAGAGCAGCCCACCCCCTCCGCCCCTCCGGCTGCTGTACTTGCTCACCCTGGCTGGCCAGTGCGGGTATCCCTTCATTTTGGCGAAGACCAGGTCTCCGGGCTGGAAGTTGTGTGGCATTGTGCCGCTCCTCGGTGCAGCCTGGACGTGGAAAAGTGTTCGGATGCGCCGTCTGTCTGTGTCTCGCCTGGTTTTGGCGTTTTCAGGTCGACACGAAACCTGGAAACGATGGGGTTAGCTAGCAAGCTAACAGTACACGAACGTTACCGCGAGAAGAGACGGCGGCGGCAAGATGGCGGCAACGCAGACAACACATCCGGTCGGGTTTTGATGATCGGCTTCAAAATAAAGTCCTTCTGCTTCATACAAATGACAGAAAACCAAGTGCATCATCTAGTGTCCTGAAATGTATTTAAACTCTAATCCATGAGTGAAGCTGTGATAATATGATTATTTCAGAGCGCAGAAATCCCTTTA